AAATCCTTTGAAAATCATTGTCCCTTCCACCCACAAAATACCCCCAATCTCACAGAACCTGAACCAAATACTTACTTTTTTGATGAGGAAATACTTAGTGAAGAAACTGCCTCTGAAACGGTCAACGAGATCGACTGTTCAGCCAACAACGGTCGACCGTCTCCCACTGAACCTGACATTGCCAATCCTACGGTCGAACCACTGGACCATTCTCAGGACTCCGGTCAACCGTTTCTCACATCGAACACAGATATCTCTCCAACAGCAGGACCGAACAGCCAACCCACTGAACCCATCCAACCTTCTTCTATTCTTGATGACCAAACCCTTCCAACCCAAGACACTTTGTGCCGAAGTAAAAGAGAACGTTGCCCTCCTTCGCGACTGCGTGACTTTGTCACTCACACCATTCAACGTCCCTCTCTTGATTCACCCAAACCAACGCCGCATTCAGGTACATCACACTGTATTACAAATTTTATTAACGCTAACAAATTTTCTGTTTCCCATAAATGTTTTCTGCCAGCTATAAGTGCAGATGTTGAGCCTACATTCTTTTCTGACGCGGTCAAAAACCCACTCTGGGTAAAAGCTATGAAGGAAGAAGTTCAGGCACTGGAAGCAAATGGTACTTGGTCACTTGTCCCCTTGCCTCCTGTAAGGAAAACAATCGGATCTAAGTGGGTCTATAAAATCAAGCACAAGTCTGATGGAAGCATTGGACGATACAAAGCTTGTTTGGTGGTGCTTGGAAATTTCCAGAAAGAGGGTATTGACTTTAAAGAGACTTTTACACCGACGGCCAAATTAGTTACCATTCGCACTCTCCTAGCTGTTGCCGCCGCTCAAAACCGGTTCCTACATCAGATGGATGTTCACAATGCTTTTTTCATGGAGACCTTCGCGATGAAATATACATTACTCTTCCTCCAGGGTTTGCCTCTCGCGGTAAAGGATTGGTTTTCCGTCTTCATAAATCCCTCTACGGTCTTCGTCAGGCTCCACGTTATTGGTTTTCTAAACTCACCTCTGCCTTGAAACATTTTGGGTTTCACCAATCCAAAGATGAATATTCTCTATTTACTCTTCTGTGTGGCTCCATTGAGCTTCGTGTGCTGGTGTATGTGGATGATGTTGTTATTGCAGAAAATGATGAAGGGTTCATTGAAAAGTTTAAACAGAATCTCTCTGATTGCTTCCATATGAAAAATCTCGGCCTTTTAAAATAATTTTTGGGAGTTGAGGTTGCCCAATATTCAAAAGGAATCTTCATATGCCAGCACAAATATGCTCTTGATATTCTTTGCTAGACTAGGTTTCTAGGTGCTCGTCCGGCTTCCACTCCTCTTTCTCAGAATCATCGTCTGGTGAGTGGCGAGTGGCCCCCTTCTCACTAATCCGGAGCGTTATCGCTGGCTTGTAGGGCGCCTCATTTATCTTACAATTAGTCGTCCTGATTTAGCATATGTTGTTCATGTGTTATCTCAATTTATGGGAAACCCGCAACAGGAGCATTGGCATGGGGCGACACATGTTCTACGCTATATCAAGGAAAGCCCCGGGCAAGGCTTATTCCTTCTAGCACAAAGTGATCTTACTCTTATGGCTTTCTGTGACTTTGATTGGGCTAGTTGTCCTTTGACTCATCATTCAGTTACCAATTATTTTATTTGTCTTGGCATTTCCCGGTGTCCTGACGTACAAAGAAGCAAAATGTGGTCTCTCGCTCCTCCGCTAAGGTCGAATACCGGGCCATGGCAACTACTGTTTGTGAACTGAAATGGCTGAAAACTCTTCTATTATCCTTAGGCGTGTCTCATAAACAGCCCATGGAATTGTTTTGTGATAATCAGGCTCCTATCGATATCGCAGCTAACCCCGTTTTTCATGAACGTACAAAACATATTGAGATTGATTGTCACTTTGTACGTGATGAAATCCAGAAAGGTGTTTTGTGTACCTGACATGTGTCTACCTCCGATCAATCAGCAGATCTGTTTACAAAGGCCTTGGCTTCCGCTCCATTTTCACATTTGTTGTCCAAGTTGGGCACTCAGAATCTGCATGCTCCAGCTTGAGGGGGGGTGTTGGCCGTGTGTTACTTCGACCCCACGAAAAGACTAACCAAATCCCGCTCTTATTGGGATTCTTCTTGATTTACTTCCGAGTTTGCGATTAGTGATTTGTTTCCTGGTAGGATTTGTATTCCTTTTCTATTTTGGAATTATCCTCTCCTGTAAATAAAGGAGAGGCCCTTTGTAATTACTCAGAACAATTCAATATACAAACTATTTTCTCTCTTATTAATTTCTACATTACACATCGTATTTTAGCATATTATAAAATAAAGGAAACTTAGAAAATAATAATTAAATGACACATTTTTAATATGCACTTTTTTTCAAACGAGAAAAGTTTTTTGGAACGAAGGTAGTATACTGTGGAGTAGCGAGTAGCATTACAGAGTACAAATATTTGTGTAATCAGAAATTTTAAAAATGATATTCCCTCAACTATGAAAGAAAGTTCTCATTTAGTACTAAATATATAATCAAAATATATAGGAAAACAATAAAACTAGGAGCAAAACATGAGAAAGTATCAAAATAAGACTTTCACTTTTTATCCACAAAATATGAATTACGATGCCAATAATTAAACATATAATAAAAAAAATTATAGAATACTAGTATACATAGCCGAAATGTCACATGGAAATAGTCTTTGTTTGGGATTAAAAATATGGAACTACTATCTTAGGATTTTTTCTATGTTTATGTTAGTCGATGTTCTAACGCCTTAGAGGGGGTTAATAAGGTATTTAAAAACTCGTTGGAGTTTGATAAAATTAGTAATTAAAAAACGCGGAAGCAATGAATGAAATGTAGAGATTAAAAATGTAAAATAAAGACACCGATTTATACTTGTTTGTGAGCTCCCTACCCTAGTACCTTAGTGATCCTCCTTAACGATTTTTGAATACACTAAGTCTTGTCCTCTTAAATTTTGTCAAAGCACTGTACTAGATTTGGCAAACAACCCTTGCTAATAGGATTCACTCCGAGACTTCAAAACGTCTATTTGGAACAGCTACAATGAAGATTTGAAATCTATCTTATACATTTTCCCCCAAGGATTTATACGGTTATCCTAGACCATTATAATTGATGAATAATGTGTCTAAAAACACAAAAATATTCAACACCTTTTGGCCTATGGTAAAGAAAAAGATCAATCTTTGGCCGGTGAAGAATAGAGAATATACTCTCTAATAAAAGATGAACTTAATCAAGATGGGAGTATATATATGTATAATCACAAGCTCAATGTGCGCGCATAAAATCAGAATAAAAACAAGACTCTTTTAGCCAAAATATAAAAATTTAAGAACGAACAAGAACACACTTTAGAGTATGAGAATATAAGATTAGAGTTTGGATTCTTGATTCAAATCAATGAGAATGGTTGGATATTTCTAGGATTGGATTGTGAACCTTTGATTTGAATAATATAGTTATTATGAGATTCCAAATACTCTAAATAAGTTGATAAAACCGTTGGATAAATATCTAATTTAAAATATGACCATTATGTGTTATTTTAGGCTAAACGTGCCCAGACAGCCAAGGCTTCGACAATTAAGAACCCTTAGTCGACCGTGCACTATTGCAACAGTAAACTTCAGCTACGTCTCCATAAAATGGTCGACCGTTGCTCCCAAACAGTCCTACTCCAAAGTCATTTGTACTTTTATGCGTAAAACCTAGGATTTTAGTCAAATCGCTATAACTTCTTCAATACTTATTGAAATTGAGTGATTTAAAAAATGGAGATTTCATATTAAAAAGATCTACATGTTTTGTATTGTAAGTTTTTCGAAATTCATAGAATATATTTTTTTAAAATATTTATTGGATTATTTTACTAAAAAATAAATACCCAATGAAAAATATTTTTGTGCGTGTGCAAGATTGAGTTTAGAAAATCGTTTTAAGTATGTTTTTGAGTGACAATTAAGCTTGTGAATATAGGCATATAAAATCACATTCTTTCATTTTATTCTACCTTTTTTTATACTAATTTGGTGTTTCAACTTCGTTCTTGAGAGTCGTTACCTAATGAATTCTTGTTGTTCCGGAAACACTTAAACAAACATTATCTTGAATATTGTTTGTTAACATCAAAACACGAGATTTAGCCAACCAAGGCTAACAGTTTACTCCTGGCAGGGCAGATTTCTTAGACATATATCCTCTGATAGGAATATAATCTCAATATATTTAGTTTCCTTATGCATTGTATTACTATATTTTTTCTCCTCCCTTATTTAGATTTATACATATAATCTATAAATATACTCATTAAAACTTCATAATTCAATAAGACTAATGATTGCCAAATAATATCATGGTATCAGAGCTAATGTTCTTAAAAATCCATCCCTTTTTTTGGTAAAAATGCCGCCCCCCCTCTGACGGGCGATTGTCATGGCGACATTAGATACTCCCTCATCTCTTTCGTCTAGAGTCGCGTTTCTAATCATGAACCTCTACAATTTTATCACTAAAAACTCACATATACAAACTACCCTACATGATCTCTGAATGTTCGAATGGCACTTGAAGCCAATCTTCTGCTCAATTGGATTGGTGGATTTGAAAAAACACCATAAAATATGATAATGAAAGGAGTTGTGAGTTCTAACCAGGCGTATTCTTCATGGATCGTAATTGACACACAAATCCGAGCTTGTCTTCTTGCTCTGATCAATCCAGCAGTTCACAAACACGCTCGGGGCTTTACAACCTTTGCCGCTCTCTAGGATGCTTTAGCAGCACACTACAATTCTATATCAATCGCTCATATTTATCAACTTCGGGATAAACTTTACACTCTACGCAAAGGTACAAAAAATATGACTCAATATCTTGATGAAGTTGCTTCCATTCTAACCAATCTTGATGCCTTGAATGAAGCAATCGTTGAACGTGATTTGGTGAATATGATGTGTTTGGTGGTCTTCCTGACGATTACTTGATATGGTGCTTTTGAAGTTGCAACCCCATTGACAGTTTTCCGTGGCTAAACCCAAGTCCGCCAAGAAGGCCAGGCGCTATTATGGGCCGTTCCCAGAAAGTCGCGCGCATCGGGAAGGTGGCGTACCAGCCGCAGTTACCATAGGGGTCCAAGATACACAACGTTTTGCATGTTTCCTTATTGCGGCCGTACATCCTGGATAGTTCCACCCCAGTGGTCTCCTCATTGCCGATGGATTTTCATGCCGGAGGGTCGATGCCAGTACTGCAGCGGGCAATGGGAGCGCGCACAGTGATGGTTCACAGCCAATTACAGGACCAATGGCTTGTTGTGTGGTCCGAGGACGGTCTTGCCGATGCTACATGGGAACCGGCTGCTCTGTTGAAGGCAAACTACCTAGATTTGATCCTTGAGGACAAGGACGCTTTGGTCTGCAGGGCAGATGATACGACCCATCAAGGGGGCCAGGTGTTGGAGCGTGCGGAGAGCCCAGGAATACAACGCGAGCCAAGACGTTCGGTCCGTGCGTCTAGACCACCGGCCCGACTTCAAAATTACGTTTAACATTTTTTATTTATTTCATTTAATTTCATATATCGTTGTACTTTTAGATTTTCTTTAGGTGAGCAAGTTATAAGCTCCTTCGAGGGTTTCTTTTCAGTTCTTTACCTCGATGCTTTTCTTGAACTGACAGGGTTAGGGTTACTGTCATTCTCTATTTATACTTTACGTCCAACTATTGAATGGGTTATGAATGAAAGTGATTTAGTTAGACATAATTCCTTGTTCTTTGTGTTCTCTAAAACCCTAACTCCCTCTAGCCGCATTCCCCTTTGTTCTCTGCCGGCGGCGAAGGTACTCTCGTAGGAATGCACACTTAACATTACTCCTCTTTTAAAAAAATCTGTATGTAGAATACTATTATAACTCTTAATCAAATTTCTGAATGGCTCATCTTTGAGGAAATTAATCTTGTGATAGAAAAAAATTGAACCTTTTTTATTCTGCTTATGGTGGTCCTCATACGACACTTTTTTTCATCAAGCGGAAGTGTCCGCGGTCAAGGGGGATGCTGCAGTCGATCGTCCTTTGGCCACGAGACTGGCCTTGCCCGCGGTGGTTAAAGCAATGGTCGAGGGGGAGTCAGCGGACCTCCACACGAGCTTCCGTTCTATCTGATTTATGACAAGTGTGGTCAATCTATTATTGCCTCTTGGTTTTGTTTTGATGATTCATATACTGAGAATAACTCTGCTAGTACATTCCGCATTATGCATGCGACCACAAAAAGTCAATCTGGTGATTGGTATCTTGATACAGGTGCCAACATTTTTGTCACGCATAATCTATCACATATGCAGTTTCATACTCCCTATCATGATACCAAAACTATCAATGTAGATAATTGTCACACCTTACCCAAAACACACTAGCTCAGGCTATATCAACAAACCTCAGGGTAAATATCACCTCCCCTCTCTTACTTCAAATCGCTATCAGTTCATCACTTCACGAAAGACAATAATTGTACCTTTGTTTTCATCGCCAATACTTTCCAAATGATGGAAAACGCCATGAACCAGGTGTGGTATAAGGGCCGTTGTGAGCATGAACTTTACACCCTCGCATGTAAGCCTCCATCTGTCGTGTGCCAATATGTTAAAGCGTGTACCTGAAATCGCAAACTCAATCATTTGGCGCCTACTATTGCCAAGTCTATTTTGTCGTCTTTAAGTTTTCACTTTTCTGATCTCCTATAATTTGAGTCATGTTATGTGTCAAATTCTTATCCTTTCGCTTTTGGGTTGTCAGAACACGAAGCTATTTTTGCTTTTTAATTAATACATTCTAATGTTTGGGATCCATTCTTTATTCCCTATGTTAGTTTTTTTCAGTTTTATATCTCCTTTATTGATGATTTTAGCAAATTCACATGGATTTACCCACTTAAACACAAGCCTTAGGCATACTCAATCTTTTTCAATTTTTAAAATCGGTTAAAACACAATTCAACTCACAAGTTCAGATTTTTCAAAGTGATCATGGAAAAGAATTTGTTAACACTAATTTTTTACTTTTCCTTCAAAGCTTAGGGATTTTCCATCGAACATCATGTTATTAGACTCTTAAGCAAAACTGTGTTGCTTACCGCCCATGGCACAATGTTTACTCATCATTTCCCAACTTTTGATTGAGTTTGTTTCTTGACAGGTTTGAAACTCAGCATCACTCCATTTTAAAAAATAATAATGTTCACGTGCAAGGTTCGAGCAAAAAAACAAATCTCGTTTTCACGTGAAAGATTGTGTTAGAATATAAAATCTTTCCTAGACCAAAACTAGAAGTTTGAGTTTTGATTGAATTCGTTCCTAGACATGATATCAAAGCCATTTTTAACTCACCTCATTTGTTAAGATGTCCGTCTATATGTTTATTCCTAACAACCTTAGTATTTAGCCTAGTTTTCCATTTGGAATGTAAATTATGGCTTGTGGTTCGTTTAACCTGATTGATAATCTAAAGTCCATACATAGCGACTTGTGGTCATTTAGGTGTTGGTGCTAACAAAAATCAAGGGATAAAAATTCATTTACAAGTAGTCAATTGGTTAGATTCAAAATGTTCCAAATATCCACTTGAGGAGAAGTGTTGGAGTCAATCCCACATCAGAGATTTAAGAGAAAAGTAATCGGATAGGCTCTTGAGTTGAATTAAGTAATTGATTCAATTCAATTTTTTGATGTATTTCAGCCAAAATATCTTATGGCTCAATCCAATAACCCTCAACCGATCAAAAAATTATATCATCCTCCATATATTTCAATTTTTTATCATTCTATAAAATATAATTTTTATGTCATATCTTATTTTTCAAATTGAGAAATTTCCTAAACAATACAAAAAAAAATTAAAATATATAAGTTTAATTTTTTAACTCTAGATACTTTTTCAAAAGAATACTCAGTAAAATTTGAAATAATCAAAGTAAAACCTCCCAAAGAATTATTCTTCCATGATTTTAAGGTTCACATATAAAATGTGGACCTTCTCATACTTTTCATGGACTCGCAAGTGAATTTTTTCTTTATTTACAAAAGACTCCATTCTCTTATAATATTAGAGTTTTTCTATGGTGCACCTTAGGTACATACCATTTTTATGGACATTCTCACATAAAAATGCTTGTTTTTATTTTTTTTAATAAAAATAAATTAATGCATATCTAAGTAGTAAAGAAATGTTTATTTTGCTCATATATAGGTCCATGGCGGACCTTAGACCCACTATAAAATTTGTTATAATATTAATACATTAAGCCTCATAAAAAATAAAAAATGAGCATGAACTTTAAGACCACGTAAAAATTTGCCTATTACACAATAAGTAAATTTTGTATTCTAAAATGGAAGTAGTAATATACATTTATTTTTTTATAATATGGATATCTTTACCAATGGATTTCTTTACGATGTCAAATTGTGTTATAGACTTCATCAATATGTTTCATAGAATCATAGGCCTAGTAATTTTAACAGTCCCACCATCTCTTTCCGCAAAACAAGATTATAAATATTATGTTTTTCAATTTATTTATCTATAGAAATTCTTCCCTGGCTTGAGTGATAGCAAGCCCACAGTAAAGGCAGCAGCATTGGCTCTTTGTGCGTCATTAGCTTGAGAATAGTATGAACAGATACTACCTTGTAATAGAGTCAATAGCATTCAAAAAAAATTTATTTATCTATAAATTTGGTATAGATATAAAGAAAGAAAGACTAAAATAAGGGTAAAGCTTATCAAAAGAACCAATATATAATATTAATATTCTTATTCTCAAAATCGGAACTATAACACCAATAATATCAACATATTATATTAAAAACATTAAAGAATAAAAATGTAAAATACCGCATTATCTCCACATTGTAAAGTCTTATTTCAAAAATAAAATTATATCAATCTTATTTTGGGCATAAGAGATATTTTACTCTTATTTTGGGTGATTTCTTAGAAATAAAAAGTATTAGTATAAGTTAAATATTTAAAAGGTACATCAACAATTCTACAAAATAAGGGCGACAACAATATCTTATTTTATCAAATAAGTTAGGAAAAATTATCTCAAATAATCCCACCTTTTTGTGCTCTTTAAAAATAATCTCACTTTACACTAGCTCTCACCGAAAATAATCCAACTTTTCTACACGTGCGCGAGTTTTGGGTCGACGTTAAAAAACTAACGGTCACTTAACGGAAGTTTTGAAAAATTCCCGTTTTTGTAAATAAATGAAAGGTTGATTATTTTAGGTTAATTATCTCTTACTCTTTTTTTTACTTTCTAACTCTAAATTTAAATGTATTTTTTTAATTTTTTTTGGAAATCTAATACCAAATTTAAGTGTTTTAGAGTGAAACTAATTTTTTTTCAATAATCGATAATCTGGTTATAATTAGAAAATAAATTATTCTACACAATAGAACTAATTTATTTACTTCATAACTAACTACATTCTTTTTGTAAGTAGCATTTATTTTTCTTGAGCGGCACTTCGAATTGTTTTTTGATACTATATTATTATTATTTCTTAAAAAAATGGCACTACAAAACTTATGAATATTTTTCGATAGTTCTATATAAATATTTTTTGTGAAACAACATTACAATGGTTGTGAAAATAACACAACAATTTTTTCTCTGAAATTGAACTTTTATTTGTATATTTCACTACATTTTCTAATGTATTGTAATTTTTCATGAACAGTTCATAATATTTATTGATAATCTTCTATTTCCTATATTAGTTTTTTCTAAAATGGAACTACCCAATTTGTGATTTTTTTTATAATTCAATTTAAATATTTCCCTAAAATAGTAGTTCAAAAGTTGTGAAAATGGCACAATATTTTTTCTCCGAAACGGAAATAATAAATTTTATAACTCACTACATTTTTTTGTATTGCAATTTCTTTCTTGATACGATACTCTGAATTATATTTGATAATTCAATATTATATTTTCCCAGAATAGAAAAAAAAATTATAAATCGTTAGACAAATCTCTAACAAGAGTGTACTATTATATTTTTAAAAATATTAATTTTAAATTTTAAATTTAAAAAATAAAAAGTAAATTTGCCTAAAATAATCTCACCTTTAATTTATTTGCCAAAAACGGGCATTTTCTAAAACTTCCGTTAAGTGGCCGTTAGTTTTTTAACGGCGACCCAAAACTCGCACGCTTGCGGAAATGTGAGATTATTTCTGGTAACAGTGAAAAGTGAGATTATTTTTGAAAGAGCGCGAAAAGGTGGGATCATTTTAGATAATTTTTCTAATAAGTTATGAAGAACAAATAAAACAATTACAGTGATTTTGGACTAGTATAGACAGAGGTATCTATATTTTGGGAAAGAAAGAGTAATATTTCTTTTCTCTCAAACCTTTGCCTTTACAATATGTGATTAAAACTATTATTTTATTTTATATTATTTAAAAAATAGAGTAAAATTTGAAAAATAATATTGTATTTAAAAATAATATCAAAAGTTTTACAAAAAAATAAACCAAATGCACGTCTTCATTCCATCACCAAGCATCATTAAAGTCACCAAACTAATTAAATATCACAAACTCAAATACTAACTACACTACACAACATAATTCTTCTTACCTCTACCCCAATATGCTATTACATGAAGAATTACCCAACTGAACATATCATCTTCCTTCATTCTTTCCTTGTTATGGTAAAGCTTGTTCCTTGCTTTCCAAATAATATAGTAACAGGCAGCAGCATGCAATGCAATACATGCATTCTTTGCTTCACCTTAAGCTGTATGAGTTTCTTCCAAGCATCCTCCCTCAATCGTGCAGTTTAGCCAAGCACCCAGTATTTTGACCATATTTTGAATTACCTGACATTGACTAAAGAGGCGATCTGCATCTTCCTCATCCCGCCCACACATGTCATAAGTTTTGTCAATATCCAAAAACATTGCGTTTTTGTTTTTGGTACTGACTCTCCTTTTAATACAGATAAGCCAAAGAAGCATTTGGTTCTTGGGGATAGTCATCTGCATGTTCCAAACAAAAGGGTACCACTCAGATTTGTTCTTTAACCCCAATAGCCATGCATAACCCTCTTCTGTAGTATACATGTCGTTAGTCCCAGGCATCTACTCAAAATATTTTTTGTTGTTCACTATCTTCTTCCAAAATGTCATAATACCATACAGTACACTGCCTATCATTTTGCACCTTCCAGTATAGGACATATGCTTAGTAGCCCAGAAATTTATTCTATAGGGGTGATATTATTCACTAGGTAATTTGCACAAATAGGACTTAAACATATCAATTTTCCCCAAATAGAACTAGTCCTATCTATTCTAGCGTTTGGCAATGAAAAGTTCTAAAATGCCACATCTTTGAGAAATCTGATGTATTACATAATTCAAGTGGAATAAGACATTATTAAAAACAATTTGAATAGTCATTGAAATAATCAGTTATTATCCAACACGTGTTGCTAATGATCACATTCGTAGAGTCATTCGTCTAATTAGTTATTATTAGGAAGTATAATTAAATTAGGATATTTCTTTCCTTTCCTACTAGGATTATTCTTTCCTTTCCTACTTGTACTTTGATTACTCTTTTATTCCCTATATATAGGGTCATATCTCTCAATATTCAATAAGACAAGTTATTATCAAATTGTATCATGGTATCGGAGCTAAGGCTCTCAAAAACCTAGCCTCTCTTTTTTCCGACCGCCGCCCACCATGGCAGCCCCGTCGGATCCTTTGGCGTCCTTACCCTCCGGAGTAAAACTTTTGCTTCGGAGTCTCCACAACTTAATCCCAGAAAAACTCACCGAAACAAATTATCCGGCATGGTCTCTCAATGTCCAGACAGCTCTTTCAGCTAATCTCCTCCTTGGATGGATTGATGGTCATGAAGCAGCCCCGGTGCCAACTATCTCCAAAAACGATAAAACCGTCCCTAATCCAGAGTATACCTCCTGGACCATCGTTGACACACAGATCCGCGCCTGCCTCCTAGCGGTCATCAGCCCCTCCGTTCACAAACATGCTCGCGGCTTCACCACATCTGCTGCCCTCTGGGATGCTTTGGCCGCACGGTACAACTCCGTGTCCACCGCTCATGTTTATCAGCTTCGGGACAAACTCCACACTCTTC